GACCAATGTGTTTTCTGGTTCTAAAAAAAAAATAAGTTCTGTAAGACAACCAGTAAACTAGCAGCAAAATGCAATTGAAAAACAAACACATTACTGAAGGGAACTTGCAAATGTTATTTTTCAAAGCTAAGAAAAAAAGACCATGGGTCAGATAATTCCCTTCACTTTTTACCACAGGAAATGATCAAAGTAGCAGAAAATCTGCTCTTTTTGGCCAAACTTCTGTCAGAGACAGAAGGGGTCTAGCCAACACATGGTGTATGCAGCCTTGCAGCAAGAGGGGATGTGGCTGATGGGAAAGGAGGTGGAACCAGAGAAAAATCTGTAGGGTAGTACCTCCTATTAAACCCGCAGGAATTTTCCTATTCTAGAGAAACAGTCTGATCCAGTAAAGCAAATGTCAAACAACGAAACCTTTCTTTCTGGGCTGTTAAGATGCTTGTGAGAGAAGATGCTAGGAGGGGCATAGGAGCGTCGGGGATGCTCAGCAGTGAGCGGCTGTATTGCTGTAGGGAACAGAAAGCTTCAGGTTGCCCTGATATATGTTAGAAGTACAGGCAGAACTGTGTACCTGCTGCGGTACAAACTGCTGCAACACTTTGGTGGGAAATGAAGGAGTTGGCTTTTAATGTTTTGGGGTTTTATTTTTTATTTTTTTTCCTATTAGGCTCTTTCTAGATTTTACAAGCAGAAGCAGATGGCAGGGACCAGTACATTTTACTTCTTTGTTCTTGCTGCGTGTGAAAGGTGCCAGATGGGCAATGATAAAGATAGAAATTCTCTTCCTGTAGCCCAGGGACAGCAAAAATGGAGAGCTTCAAGGCTGCCCTGTCCTCAGAGATCAGGTTAACATGACAATATTTGTGTTTTTTGGGGGCCCACTGGTTTCACTCTTTTGACTTTTTCCAAGAAACTGACAGTAAACCCCAGTGGCAACTTGACAAGGGCATCATGACCATTACAGTATTTCACATAGGCCACCAAACCACCACCAGGTTTGGTTCACCCACAAACAAGCAAAAAAATACATAGAATAGGTACGAAGTGCAGGGCCAAATCCTTCATGTGAATAACTTGGAAAATTAAATACTGTGTCCTCTGAGAGGTGTTTATTTACTTGGGAATTATGAATTATCAAAATTTTTACATAGTAGTTTGAAGGTATATTAATCTGAACTATTTTCTTAATGAAGATGGACATCTGTGGACAGGCAGGGCCTCATCCATAACTCAATGAAGTTTGTGTAATTAAATATTAATGTTTTCCCCAAGTGATATTAAAATGTTAGGGGGTCATTTTGTGCTGCAAAGCGAGGAGTTATATATTGATTTTCATTAATCTGGATCTTTTCCTGGAACTGGTTTTATTGCACTAGAGTCCTTTGAACCTAAGTGTTTTGTTTTTTTAAAACCACACAGTGTATGATGCTATATTCCGCCCAAGTCAAAAGCAGCATTTCAAGATTAGTGCAGAGATTCCTGGGGTCTCTTGGCAGCTCACCAGGCTCTTGTTCCTGTTCTAACTTAATTTTTTATAATTTCCTTTTATGTTAATAAAGGCTTCTTGTGGCTGTAAAAGTTGGAGTTGTCTTACTCCATAGACAGCCTGGTTCTTATGTAGATACTATTTAGATTATTTAGAAGTCCTGCTGGTTGCCAGATGGAGCACTTTTGGGTTTTGTGTTAAATACTTGGAAAGCTAAATAGCTTGACTTTTCCCTCCTTCCCTCCCTTCCTCCTCCAGCAAAATAAATAAATACTTGAAAAATGATTACTAACAAGTTGCTCAACTTCAGTTTTAAAATCAATTAGCTTGAAGTGAAATGACTGCAAGTATGAGATGCATCAGAGTAGGAGAGGTTTGATGGGGTTTGACTTACCTACCATTATTTTAAACTCAGTGGTTTTTCTCCAGCTTCATTTGGGCAGCAGGAACTTGAACTTCAGTTTGAGGACAGTGAATCCTGAAAACACAGCCTTGAATCTTGCAGTAGCGTTTCTTGCAGGGTCTGAACTTCAGACGAAAACCCCAAGGCGGTCTTAGACTGCAGTGGCTGTTAGTATTGCTGGAAATAACTCATGGGGTGTGGTTCATTGGTATGCTGGGATGCCGCGAGCTGCTGTATCCCTGAATTAGCTTAACCAGCCTTTGGATGACCGGGAGTCTTTGCGGTAGCTTCTGTGTCTCCCACGTCCTTGGTCTGAACATTTAGGTGAAGCAGTGCGGAGGAAAGATTTGACATCAGGTTCTCCATCACCAGCATGCTGCTCTGTTTAGAAATCATATGATTGGCACTGTAAGCCCATACAGATACCAGGGTGACCTCACCATGGGATGCTTTGAAACTGCTTTTATTCCCCAATCTTTGGGGTGTGTCACTTTTCAGCCCATTCAGTTGGTTGAGTTCACAGGGGCTGTGTTAGTGTGTGGAGCATCAGCAGCAGAGCTGGGCCAGGTCTCATTGGCCTTTATCTGGATTTTAGCAATTGTGAGGCTTTGTTTGGTTGATACTCAGGTAAATTGCTGAGGTCTAGGAATGCTTCTTAAAAGAGCAGAGCCCGTTGGGCACTGTGGTGCTGATGAACGGAGGGACCTTCTGTGCCATATTCAGTGTATACAAAATGTTCCTCCAGCTCATGCAAAATGTGCTTGGAAACGCTGGGAGTCAGTGTCCCACTAATCATAATTATCTTGTCATCAATAACCAATGGTCAGGACAGTAATTTTCGCCTCCAGAGTTACGGTTTTCAAGTACAGAGGAAAAAAATTGTCAATTCCTAGTCATTTTTTTTTTCACTATTTATTCTGTCTGGTTTACATTAAATATAGGAAGTGTGTTGAACTGGTAGGCATGCTGTTCAGGTGTACTTTGGCCCGTTTGCTTTCTGAACGTGCACACTATGGGGAAAAACATGAGAAGAGTCAGGTAGATCTGTACGTGCAGTGTGACAGATTATAGGCCCTGTAGCAGTTCTGAATTGGCATGCAGTTAACACTGTTCTTATTTAAATGCTTCAAATGCAGTCATGTTTAAAAATTTACTTTCTGTTTAAAAAAATACTATGTGATCAATGTTTGGCAATGTTAGATTCATAGTTCAAAAACTTTATCCCCTTTTATCATCTTAAAGTAGCCATTAGCCTGAAATGTCTCAGTCTCTGGGTCTGTCTTAAAAAAAAGAAACAAAGGAAATTAATGCCTGTGTTTCAGTTTTAATATTTTTGAGAGCTTTAAAGCTAACGGGTCGGCCTATTTTTACATTACAGAGCATGGAAAAATACTGGGTGTATTCTTTTTGATGCTGAAATGAGCCATTGTTTGTCTGCTCATAATTAAAAACTTGCTTTTTAGAAACTGGGATTGGTTCTAGGCATTGCAAGAAAATCTGTGAGTGAAGCTATCCACATGAAATTTCCTTACTACTGACTTTAGGCATGAGCTCATTCAGAGTCTGTAATCTTGCCTACTCTTGTGGCTGTCGTATTAGAGCAGTTTGTCCCAACAGCCTGTAAATGGAGCTGATAGCATCCGAACAGACTGAAGAGCAGTTGTTGAAGCGAGTGGTACAAGCTCCAGAGACATGAGTACTATCTTTGAAACTTCACAGCTATGTGCTGCTGGCTGGGGCACTGTAGGATGTAATAGTCCTGAGGAGTTACAGTGAAATACAGGGCTGAAAAAAGCTACGAGCAAGGGAGGTTTGTTTCACAGTGTGGGCACAATTTATGGTTTTCAAGGGGCAGGGGAATAATTAACTTGGTCAGAACTGTAAGAGTATTTAGGGGCTTAAGTCCCATTGATTTTCAGTGGGAGCTGTATGTCTAGATGTTTTGTGGACCTGGTCATTTGTGATGAACTTTGAATGCCTAGGGTTAATTATAGAATGTTGTGGTAGAGTTTTACTGTAACTCTAAAGCTAGAAAATTCACAGCTGAATTATGAACATGGGCCATAATTCTGTTCTTGCCATCCTGACCTTTCCATATGAGTTAAAAGCTCTTGTTACCCTTGCCTATGCCCTGGCTGACAAGCAGCCAGAAGCCCAGCTCTCCCTCATTTGTCTCTTCTGGCTGCCAGATGCCAGCATCGTGCATCTTACCTTCATATCAGAATCACAGATTTCACCTCCTTCCTTCCACTCTCTGCTCCTGGTGCGACTTGCTCCTAACTGGCTGCACCTCAAAGAGTTGTTGGTACGTGATCCCCACAGATGTTTGATGGCTTGTGCGTGACTCAGAGTCTGCAAACCATACTGAACATAGAATCATAGAATAGTTAGGGCTGGAAAGGACCTTAAGATCATCAAGTTCCAACCCCCCTGCCATGGGCAGGGACACCTCGCTCTAAACGATATCACCCAAGGCCTCGTCCAACCTGGCCTTGAACACTGCCAGGAATGGAGCATTCACAACCTCCCTGGGCAACCCATTCCAGTGCCTCACCACCCTAACAGGAAAGAATTTCCTCGTTATATCCAATCTAAACTTCCCCTGTTTAAGTTTTAACCCATTACCCCTTGTCCTATCACTACAGTCCCTAATGAAGAGTCCCTCCCCAGCATCCCTATAGTCCTGCTTCGGATACTGGAAGGCTGCTATGAGGTCTCCACGCAGCCTTCTCTTCTCCAGGCTGAACAGCAGCAACTGACACCCAGATGTGGCACAGAGCTCCCTTTATACTGTGTTCATGTTATCCTCAACAGGCCGTACAGATAAAGACAGTTCATGCTAATTGAGGTCCAGATTGCATCAGGAACGTACCTATTCTCTTTGTATGCAGGTTCCAACTACCTCAATATCACATACATCCTTTCAAAACAGGTCTTGAAGAGCTGCCTGTAATCCATGTTCCTTGGACTCTTTTACACACAGTTCATCAAAGGGCTCTAATGAGATTCAGAAGAAAGGGTGATATGACTTCAGGTATTTATGAGATGGTTTTTAGTTAGGGAGGGTGGTGGGCGAGCTGGATAATGTGAGACATAGGTTAGTATTGAGCTTAAATTTGTAGCAGCTCTAGGTGCCCATTTCCCAGTGGAGTAGCATTTGGGCTTTGTGTGGCATTTTCTGTCTCTTAACTATTTTGTTCTGCTAACATTATGTATTCAATTAATCTGCAGTTTTGAAGTTCAACTCAATTAACAGGGAAGTAGCATCTGGATTTACACTCCTCTGTAAAATCTGTTTTGATGACTTTCCTGTAACTTTTCTAAATTGGACCCTGCGGCTTCTTTTAAAATTTCTTGTCTTGCCACAAGTTTTTTTCTTTATCAAAATTACCTTCATTTTCTCTCCAACTGGGGACAAACAAACAAACAAAACCCTGGATAACCCTGGTGTATTTATCCAATTCCCTGCACGTCTCCTTTTACCTACAGTTTCAGGATTATTAGAAATCACTTTCTTTGAAAAAAACTTTTACTCCTAAATTTCAAAGTCATAGTCTGAAACTGGGGAGCATTTTGTTTTGTACGTGATTAAAACCACATCTGTTCATTGGGGTAGAAGAGTAGAAAAGGCATGCTTCTCTGTCTTGGTACATGAGATAACAAAAGGCCAAATGTTTGGTGCACTTACGTGATTGTACTGTAGTATACAGAAATGCCAGGCTGCATCAATATTGCTGTTCTAGGCACTGAGTATCCTTTTGATTACAGGCCCAGCACTTTGCAGTTGCTTGTATTGGGGGAAAAAAAAAAGTCTGTTGAAGGCCCCTGTTAGTACATTATAATGTTCTGTATTACGTTTGGTTTTGTTTAAGACAAGAAAGCTCGAATTGGAATTATGTGCCAATTCCTTATAAGATCCCACTCATTTGGCAAAGGAATTGCATTAATTACATCTTGTTTTCTGTACTGTGTCACTACAGAAGAGAGAGCACATGCTGGGCTTGTAAAGGGATGATATAATTCACTCACATCTTTGAAGACTTTGCTGTATTATTCCCTTTTCCTTTGAAAAAAGACTTTCCCTGGATGATAAATACGCTTTGCAAATGTACATTGGTGCTCAGAAGCTTGAGTAAAACAGACTCTTAAAGCTTATCAGATAGAGAGATGATTAAAAAAGTAAAAAGTAGTTTTTCAAAGATTTTTCCCAAAGTATTCTTTAGGCATAGTTTTACCTGGTTTTGTTGTTACATTCATTTTGTATTATTGTTGGACATTTGCTCCTCTATGAAGTGATTTTGTAAGTTTGACTGATTTCACTTACAGAAGATGCAGTTGCTGACTGGTCCTGGATCCTTAAGGCTGTGATCTGTGAGGTATTGCATGTCCTTCCTTGTAAGACTTCTTTTTACTGATGTGATCTGGAGTTCGCATGAATCACTAATGTCCAGGGAAAATCATTCCTGTTGAGAGAATAAAGCATAAAGAATGTTCAGACCATGTCTACAGGAAAAGTCTGTAAGACGGACATCTCGTTTTCAACTCTGTCGAATTAGCCCCTCTTCCTCAAGATTATGAATTGGAAATTAATGAGAGTATTTAAAGAATTTTCAGCTGCCGAAAAACCTGATAACGTACATGACGTGTGAAAGCCTTCCTTCATGTTTTGCTTCTGTTCATGTCTATCCGGTCTGTCTAAAAATAACAGTTTAAATGTATTTTTATACCAAAAAATAGCAGGGTTTTTTTTCAGCAGGGAAAAAGGAAAGCCTCTGTTTTGGTTTTCAGAAGTGGACTGCAAACCGATCAATATCCCTTTTGCTCATTAGATGCTGTGTAACTAAGTTATCCCACTGCTTATTGCACTCTAAAATACCTTTTACTGTTGATGTGCATTGACATCCTACAGTTTCATTTTAGAAAAGTGCTCAGCTTGTTTATGTGCTTCAGTCATATTGACAGTATATGAATTCTTCCTCAGAACCAAATAATCCTTGTTAATGACAGAGTGAAATGATACTATGTTTATTTCTAAGGGGAAAAACTAGTGCTTTGCATAAGTCAGATTGATGAGAGTTCAACCTAGTAATTCTAAAGGCTGTTGCATTTGTAGTAGTGTGTTTGAGGACTCTTACAAGCCTGAAGCATACTATTTTCAAACTGTTTAATTTTATCACTATTCCAGAGAGTACAGAATTACCTCTCCCAGACCAGGTTATTTTGGAATTAAAGCCTTTTAGACCATACTTAGCAAAAGTGATCCTAGTTAGATCTGCTTTGCAGGGTAGGTTCTACCTGCAGGTACAAAACTGGGATGTACAGGTTGATCATGTTGTAAGGGGGTTGTTTTAATGCTAGTTAAGAACTACATTGCCTGAGATCGGGGTATCTGTGACTTTTCAGGGAAACATGGATTTTAATTTTTTAGAAGCAGCCTTTTAATTTTTTTTTTATGGGTGAAAGCCCCAGAAACAATGAACTTTGCCTTGATCTCAGTAAATGATGCAGCCATAGGGATTCTTTCAGACAGATAGGGATCAGGTGTGGTAGGTGCAGGTATGAGGTATACAGCTATAAACATACATACAAAGGGGACTCCTTCCTAAGACTTGACCTTTCTTCCCCACACACTTCTCTACAAAATAGTAAGTACTGTTTGGAATACAGTTTGCTTGAAGGACAGTTAATCATTAAACAGGGGCCCTGGATAGACAGCAGATCTACTAAATACTACTTAAATAAATTGCTAAAAAACTACATCAGAATTAGCACCTAGCTGAGAACTTCTGCTTATAAGCAGGGACCTACATGGAAATATATTTAATAATAAGGTAAATGTTTGTCATCCTCATGCCTTGCCAACAGTTTTGGGTCTCTCCATGTTAAGACTAGGGAATAAGGTGGAAACTTGTTTTGTTAAAAAATATATATCAGTTGTTAGGAAAGAAAAACATCCTAGAATTAGCTTGGATTTAGCTAGTGGATAGGGAGATGCAGCTCTGATAATTAAGGGATTTGTGGAGCACTGTGAGTCACAGTACCTATTAAGGGCATTTGGGCCAAGTCTACTTACAGTGATCCTTTCTTCATCAGAATGAAAGCTTTATTGTCTACCTGTAGGCTGTTACATATCTTCACCTCTCCATATGCAGAGGGCTCTACCTTTTCTGAAAACAGGTAAAAAATAATGCACCTCTTTCCCATAAAATGTGTCCCACCAGTCACTGCTGTCCTGGTCCTGAGCATTTCACAGTGTAACACTGTCTAGTGATGCTTTTACTTTTGTCTTGCTTTTTGCATTGTCACTCACATACTCCTTAGCGCACATCATCAGGCTAGGAGCCATTCCTCACCTCTGATTCTCCTCTAATGCTTCCAAAAATCTCTTGTACTCACTTACAAAACCAGCTGGAACTGCAACATCGCTCCATTTTAAGCTCTGAATTGTGTTAGCCATTACATTGGTTCCACATGCTGCTTGGGTGGAGACATCAGTTAAAATTCCCAACACAGCCAGTCAGGCCAGGAATTGCAGCTCTGCATAAGTGGTGGTGACTTTCTAGTTCTTGATTACATTATGCTAGAAAAGAGGATTGTTCCCAGAGCAATTTACCAAGAGGGGGAAAATGGAAATATTGTTGAGGATGACCTTCCACCCCAGTGATCTCTTTGGCTGGCGTCTGTTATTGCTCAGCTTCTCCGTCATGGGTTTCGCAGTAGTCCGGTGCTTTGTCATCGCTACTAAGTGGAGAACTCCTGAGCTCACTAAACAGTTTGTGGGAGGTTTGTGTAATGGCAGAAGGGTTTATGAATGCAATTGCAGAACAAAGTATTCATCAGGGTTACCTGAAGTAGATATGGGTCCTATCTGAGCAGACTTTAAATGCATCAATTCTAAAAAATTCTGCAATCTAAAGTGCTATTCCTGTGTCTAAGATCTTGAGGTAGAGAGAAGGAGAGAGGAAAAAGAAGGGAATTACTTTGCATTGCTCCAGCATGGGAGCAAGAACAGTGTTGTTGCGATTGTCTTCAGGAGAGAGGCAGTGCTGTAATCCTGTTTCATTTTCATACGCAGAACTTGAAAAGATTTTTCCTAGAAATGTGTAATGGGACTGTCAGAAAACAGACCACTCCCCTTCCCAGTAGTTTCCTGCTGAAGTCATTTAAGGCCTCTCACAGCTTTCATCTGTGTAGGCACTGAGAACTTGTGAGCCAAGATTCTTTTTTTCAAGTGAAGTACAGGCAAAAATGAAGCGCTTTAAAAAAAGCCATTAGGAAAGAAAGTTGGAAGTTTCTCTGCATGGGAAGCTGGCTCGCCACTTAACCAGCTTCTCATTTCCTTTCTGTTTCTGTCAATCCCATCGAAGTAGAGCTAGGTGTTTTTCTTGTTTTGGGTATTGCTAAAAGCATGTATGTGAGCTGCCCAAAGGGGCGGAGAGAAGTTGTTCCTTACTTCACTTCTGGGACTGTCTGTTCAGGGCTTTACACAGGAGGTGACTTGGAAAGGCTTGTAGATTCCATTTACTGTGCACTCAGACCTGGTGATTGCAGTAGGCTGAACATACAAAACCTGCTCTGCAGGCAACAGCCCCACTGCAGTAGCTATTCGAAAAGAAAAAATCCATTTGTGGAGCTGGCAGATAGCCTGCATTCACAAAGATGGGGATTTCTGTTGGTACATATGCCATGTTTAACACAAGGCAGCGTGCTTTTAGAAAGAAACCATTACTCCCCTGAATAAATGGATGCTACTCAGCATGCATTTTCTGGTTGGACTGAATTCAAGCTTCCCATTCTGAAATGGATAGCTTTTTTTGGGTTGCATTCACACGTCTCTCAGACAAATCTGTAATGTGGGTTTGTTCCTTAGATGAATGATACACATTTCATCTGATTTCTTTCAAGTTGAACTCTGCCTGGCATAGGAATGATAAATGGTTTTTTTTTCTTTCTTCTAGAAGACCATGTTGTGCTGTGAAAGATGAACTTCATTCCCAAGACAGGTGAACTGCATTCAGAGGTGGATTTACTGGTACCTGTTTGTAACGCTACAGCAGTGCCATAGGCAACTTACCAGACAGACATATATTGTGGTAGTACTGAGCTGTTCCATGCATCAGCCCTTTTGTAAAGCTTTAATTGGAAGTTATATGTCCTTAAAGCCTAGAGGAGTCTAGGAGTCTTCTCTGCAGGGAATGAATTTTCCTATTTTACTATTAGTCCTTGGGGTAGTGATGTATATACAAGTATTTCAGCCTTAGAGCATAAGGAACTTCCTGAAGTTAGCTGGACATTATAAACTACATATGCGCTTAGGAAAAGAAAATGCTGGTATTTAAGTAGGCTGCCAGCATGCTGTGAATGCAAGGCACTATACTGATATGACACTTCATGTCTGTGTTTGCATTTGCTGTGAAACTGCATACCTGATGTGCAGTTTTTTGGAGTTGCCTTGATCCAGTGTGTAGGGAAGCTCAATGAGATGCATCCAGCCTGAAGAACAACTTCACGCTGCTTTGAATTAAACTCTCAGTCAGGTCCCAGGATCAGGTTTGGGACTGATGAGCTAAATGGCATACTCAGATAAAACCTGAGCTTGCCCCAAGCACCTGACCCTTACCCTGTGGTGATAGCAGGCTCTAAGCATTACCTGTCCCCATCACCTCCCTGCGTCCCATCTGCCTTTGTGATGAGACCATATGTTTGAGGCTAGAAAGACAAGACGTCCTGTAGCCTTTCTGATGAGGGCCAACATAGTGTCGTGAAGACACATGGCACTTTGGACAGTCTGGATTCAAGCTGTCTGCAGGGGCCACCTGGAAAGAGAAGTTGGGTTGTGTCTCAAAACCTCTTCCTAGAATTGGCTGTCTCAGGTACAGTTTAAGCAAATCAGGGCTATAGCTATGGTCCTGTTTGTGCTAAAAACTTACCCAGTCTTTCTAAGGCTTTAGATCTTCACCTACTTACTAAGGTATTTCTGTTTGTCTGTCTTGTTACTGACATTCTTCTTGCTGCTTAACTACAGTGTTGACAAAAGTTTGTGTCATACTGAAAACAAGATTTGAACTGAATCCAAAGGCTGTGGAGTCGGTGCAGCTGTGTAATGGGGAGGAGCTGATACATGCTGTCAATGATTTGAAACTATTAAGCATATATGCAAGGAACTGGCATCTGAAGTGCTTTTATTTCTAGTGATAACTGATGATTTTCACCATGTACAACTTTGATTCTTATAAATTCTTGTATCAAGAGTCTAATCTGGCCAACCCTACTTTTGTGAATTAGCAGTGGTAATTAGAGATACCTGGTCTATACTGTTGCAATATGTACACACACACGTATATGTTGATAACAGGAAGTGTGTCATTCAGAAGCCATTCTGCCAAAATCTCTGCTCTTTGTCCCCTTGTGTAATGGATGGCACCAGTCACCACAAGTCACCGCTGGTGACCTAATGGCCAGTCCCCACTAGTCACCACCTAGTCCTAGTGGAGCAGAGTTTTTATACAGAATCCCTTTCTGTGTGTAAGCACCCTTGTAAGAATCAGCAGCACACAGCTGTCAGTGTACAAAGGTGGTAAAAACCTGTACAAGCAGTATAAGCCTTACTTCCTAACAATAAGAGTGGCTGGCAGAAAGTGGTGTCAGTGTCTATGTAGATTAGGGAAGGATTGGGTGTGTTCAGCAGGGGAATAGTGTTTGTTTAGGTTCTCCCTCCTGGGACTAGTTTAGTATTTCAAGCACGTTTGGGAACTTTTTTCCCCCAGAGAGCTAAGATGCAAGACAGTGTGTATGGACAGTGTGTATGGATCTGAGACAATAAGACTTAACAATGCTGCGTAAAAAGTGATTGCATATCCTATAATGCTAGCTTTGTCTCTGGGTGTCTGTATAGACTCTCTCAGTATTTGTTTGCTGACTTTTCTTTCAGCTTAAAATATGCAAGATGATGCCTCTTTCAGCCTGTTGGGGCTGACAAAATACTAAAGATCAACAAAGCCATAGAGTAGAATGCAGCTGAACCCAGTCCTGTACGGAGAGTCCCTATGTGTGCTGTATCAGAGGGAACAGCTGGGATCTACTACTGACAAAACTACTAAATCCACATTTTTTCCCGTCTGACTGTATGCTTATTTTGCATGCCCTGTCCAGCAAAATGGAGAGCTGATGCTTGTCTCCTTTTTACTCACTGTCTAATGGAAGGTTATTTAGAGCAGCAATGTCTGAGTCACTTTGTCACAAGCTAGTTCAAAAGGCATATGCTGTATGTAAAACAGCTCCAAGAAAATGAAGAGCAACCACAAAGGGACACAGTTGTGCAAATCACTATTCAGAGATCTTGAAACATAAAAACACATAGCTCTCAAAGAGGCCAGGACCCCGAAAATAATTGGCCAGGGTAATGGAAATGTTAAAAGAATGAATGGTAGCAGCCACAACCATTGCCAAAATCACTACGGTCATCAGGCTGAGAAATGAGCCTGGTGGCAGCACATCCAGATGGCTGAACAGCAAGACTTACTGGTAATCCATCCATTTGCCCCATTGGAATCTCATCCACGCACCAGCTCAGAGACAGATTCCAGAGTAGTCCCAAAGGAGGTCCCAAAATCACAGGCACTGAGCTCAGCCTCTTGAGGGAGACTCAGCCTCCTCAGCAGTTAGACAGCCACCGATGAAGCCACAGGTTCAGTGGAGCCCTATGTACAAACATCACATCATGATGTTAACAGACCTTATTTTTGAACACTGCACATCCTGTATTCCAAGTGGCTGGGCTTAAATGCTGTGTATGCTGCCAGTATGGCTAAATGTGTGTCAGCAATTAAGGACCCCAGGAGGTCTCTCTGAAAACTGATGTACAAGCTTGTTCAGCTCGCCTTGCAACATAAGTTTTTCCTAGCAGAATATGATTGCTGTAATATGGAAGGGAGCTTTGCTCTACACATGCTAAGTACCCTTATCTGTCAAGTGGCCTAACTAACATAATTAGATTAAACTAAGAGGAATTGAGCCAACCTTGGATTCTGACACTCCTGTTCAGGCCCAGAGAAAGGTCTTTGAACGCAAAAACCTGCCTATTCATTCCAATGGTATTAATTGATCTAATAACAATTTTAGATGTACGTTCTCTTCCTACAGAACAATTACTAGTTCATCCTGGAATGATCGGCATGTATATAAATCAGAATAAAGGAATCTGATTTGAACTGTTAGCTAAGTTTAAAAAAGCTGAAGCTGCTGTGTGTTAATGTGAGAGCCTTTGGCCAGCTGGGGAAGAAACCCCCTCCCAGTAACTGAGCATTAGGATTGTCAGCCTGAAGTCACTGTCACACAGAGGATATGGGAGCACGAGGAGCATGTCCTTTCCCATAAGTCAGTCCATGGCTACAAATGTAATGGAATTTGCAGGGTTTTGTGACCATTTCTGCTCCTCAGACCAGCATTGAGAACAGTACCTGACTCCTATGGTGTGGAAGCAAACCTGGTTCTACTTCAGAGGCAAAACTCAAGGAGATGGAGAGGGGTCCTGGAGTCATAATACAAAAATCACTAGTTCACACTGACATAAGCCAACCTGATGGAGGATAGTCAGATTAAGCAGCAGGTGAAGGAAATGCAATAAACAGAAAAATGAAGCTTCTGCTCATCATGTCTCTATGAGATTAACAGGCAGAGTTTAAACTTAAAAAGTCAGAGACGAAAATGGATAATGAAAATGTTACTTTTTCTTTTTTACTTTTGTAACAGCTATGGTTCTTGAGTTCTTCTTTTGAAAGTTGTCATTAATGTGGCACTATTTTTTAATACAGTTCAAAGTCAGATCTAGCTGGTTACCATAAAACTAAGTTATCCTCTCCACAATTCACCAGTTCTCTTAGAGACAACTTTCTCCATAAGGCATCTGCCTTATTTTTAGACAAAACTGTGGCTATTAAATGTCTAGTGCCAGGGACTACTTCTCGCTTCCTCTCCTCTTTAAGTAAACCTTTAAAAGACAGAGAAATATCTATACTACAGAATGATTCACACCAGGTAAATAAATGCATTTCAGTTGCAATCAGTCCTTATTGATTTGAAGTAGTATTAAGCTTCTTTAATCTCGTCAATTTGAGAAAGCATGCACAAATGAAAAGGAGTGACTTTAACACTTTAGGAGCGGGAACTGCAGCTTGCAGAGAGCATCCAGCAAAGGAACAGGAATAATTTTATGATGACTGGGCTAAAATCTATGCCAGTTCACAACTTCTGCTACGATTAATTTGATTTCTTTGCTTCATTCCTGAAAAATTAACCTCACATGATAACCCTTATACAGTTTTCACAGTATTTGCCACTGAAGAACTCAAAATACATATAATGCTTTTCTAGTTCAATCTGATTGCCACTAGGGCTCCTACCCACTTTCACATGGAAATTTAGCTTTTACTCCCATCTGCAACACCAATCCACCTTAAAGAGTATCAATGAACATATGCAACAAATCTTCTGAAATGGCTGTGCACAGATGCATGCATAGGAATACCCCCCACCTAATGCTGAAACACAACCACCTCTTCAGTGAGCAGCGTAAGTAATACAACAGCTTGTAGCAACACTGCATAATCATATACTTGGCCTAGAGCAAAAATTGGAGCAGTGGGAATGTACAACATTTGAATCAGGGTTTGTTGGGAAAACATTTCTCTTGTGACATAGAAACCTTATTGACTGCAAATATCCAGAACTTTGATGGTATTGTCCTCAAAGCTGCTATATTCAGCAAAAATAACTTCAGCAGTAGGATTAGGACAGCGATTTTGTTAATAGCTGGAGAGAGCTGGCCACATGAGAACGACCATTGTTCCTGCTGACAGTACCTGTGCACTTCGGGGAAGATTTCTCCTCGTAAACACCAGCTTACTTCTCTTTGAAAGTTCTCCATGTGTACAACAGGAAGCTCCAGTCCTGCAAAATCTGTATTTTCTGATGAGAGTGTAGTCTGAGATGGTACAACAGTCATGACACTGATTTGTCACATACAGTTTCCACATTCTGCCTGAATTAATCTCTCTTTAGACTCGGCTCCATAGTGAAAACACTTTGAGGTCTGAATTTGTTCTTTCCTTTTGTTCTTTAATACTCCTGGAGAGGTGAGATCTGATACTCCTGTCCATATGAAATACCATCTATTTTCCCAAACTCCCCTATTAATTTGAACAGGATAATTTGGCATTAGAAATACCATGCAAATGTTTTAATGAGCATTTCTGAGGTCTGTCTGTGCTGACAAACAATTCTGCCAAGGAGTTTGCTCATTAAACAGCAGTGAAAAGCAAATATGCGTGAGACCTGAATACATTTAAATTAAGTTTTTCAGTTGCTTAAGTAACAACAACAAAAAAGTAGATAATTTCCCTGTATTATTGTTAATAACACAAAGGTGTATTTCTAACATTATTTAAAATTCAGTTTTTCATTAGGTTTGAGATCTCTGGAAAGTCCTTCCCTAGTAAAAAGAGAGAAACAGAAAATCTCTCTTTTCCCAGTGGTGCTTGTTACTGATGCAGACTTGCTGTCAAATTGTGACTACACTGCAGAAAGATACGCAAATCAAAAGCGTTCATATACTGGAAGTTTAACAATTTAGCAAGTGGAATATACAGTTCAGATAGTTAAGAACAGAGAGTAAGCACCAAAAAAATGAAAATATCTTGTCAGTTTGAAGGGGTTTAGTATAATTTAAGAAATGTAAGAACATTATGCATATGAAATATTATTCATATAAACGGCCAGATTAGCTGAATTCAGTTCTACCACCAAAGCTGCCTTCTGCTTGGAAAAAAAATACATGTTAAAACATTGTAATTATCGAAATTATTAATTTTGTAATTGGAAAACCTCACAGAA